TGGCAGGACACCACTCTCCTACGCTGCCGAGTGTTGGTCCAAGCGAATGGCGAAGCTACTGCTGGAACAGGAAGAGGTCAATGCCGAATCGAAAGACAATGATGTAGGACACCACTCTCCTACGCTGTCATGGAGGGGAGGGTGGAAACCGCCAAGCTGTTTCTGGAACGGGAAGAAGTCAACGCGGAATCACGGGACACTGATGGCAGGACACCACTCTCCTACGCTGCCGCATGGGGGATGGTGCGAACCGCAAGGCTGCTTCTGGAGCAGGGAGAAGCCAATGTCGAATCGCGTGACATTTATGGCAGGACACCCCTCTCCTACGCTGCCGGCTGCAGGAATGTCACAATGGTGAAGCTGTTTCTAGTGCGTGAAGGGGTTATTGCTGAATCACAAGACAATCGTGGGAAGACACCACTCTTTTACGCGATCAAATCCGGGTCGGAGGAGATAGCGAAAATTCTTTTGGAACTTGGAGAGATTAACCCCCCGTTGCGAGCCCTGCCTGAAGATAAAGGAGTTGCCCAGCTTCTTCCGGAATGCCTGGCTGCTATGCCCGCTAGACAACCTGACTCCTCTCGAATTCACAATCCTTGCCCTCATATAGGAGGCCTAGAGGAAGAATCGTTAATAGACAACCTTTACCAAAATCCCGAAACACCCGCCCAAGACCCTAAACTTGACTCTCTCCTCTCAACCCCCATAATTTCAGCCCCGTCGGCCTTCATGACCACAGGATCCCTTGCGCCTTCACTGCAGCCACCGCGACGGAGCTTTTCTCGGGCCTTCGGCGACGAACCCTCTGCCCCTGTCGCGCCAAAAAGGAAAAAGCCTTCTTAGTCCCTTCCTCATTACCATTACTATTGAATACCTCCTGCGGCACAACTAGCGAGGTTGCCCTTTCAGAGAAGGGTGGTGCTATGGTTACGACTTAGTTTACAAAGTTTGGCCCTGTGTATGCCCGACAACTATATTACCCACACTACGCTCACGGACACCGCCTGACAATGCTGCCGGTATTATTTTTTTTTGTTAAATCCTTTGATTGTTTATAGAAAATGGTGCCGTGAGCGCTTGTATACAATATAGAAATATTTCTTTTGGGAGCTAAACATTTTTGGTGTCACTCTTGGATTTTCGTTTACGCATTGTGTATTCTCTTGGCGGTTTTCTTCGCGAACCCTTGTATAAATAGAATTAGCCCAAACTAACTTTATACGAGTACTTTTCCTACTTTTCCTACTTTTCCTTTCTTTTTCTCTCTAACCTTTCTACGGTGGCGGTCCGGTGTATCAGCTTACTTTTTTTTTCCCCTTCCTTCTCCTCTCTATTTCCAGTCTTTTAATAGATTTCCTACTAAATTTATAAGTTATATTAATGAAGAGGATCCCGCAATGTAGGCGGTTGGCGTCCGTTACAATCCTTTCAGCCTTGGCCATATGTGATAGTGCCAGCCGATACTGGCAATGCCCAGTGCACTCTCGAAGGAGTGGTGACAATTCAATGGTCAGAGTAAGTGGGCCAGTGGGTCAAGGAACTCTCTTTGAATTTCCAATAGGCGCGGGGTTACGGGACATCGTGGCGTCGGAGGGCGAGTATTAAATTATGTATCATACTGTGATCACCCGAGTAGCTACCGAGTGAGATGCCGCTGACGGTTGCCCTCACATCCTACCCCAATCTGCCCAAGATATCATATTCGTGTCGCTACACACCCGCCACCATTAGGGATCGGTTGTTTGGTCTGGTTCACCCCGCTCTGTCATTCGGGATAGGGTATTGGGTTCAGGTATTGGTTTCGCCACCGTAATTGCATGACCAGTGTAGCGTCGAGTGTACGGCGTGATTCTCAGCCCCTCGTTCTTTTTCCCAGCATTTTTTCAGAGTTCCAGTCGCTGCTTGAATGCTTCCTTAAAACCGGTCCATCCATCCATTGTTGTTTATGGAATTCTTTTCGATTTCTAGTTGTGCCCATAGAGATACATATCCCAGAGTCTCTTGAGCTACAGCTGTGCTTGGTCCATGGTCACGGTTTTCTTAACCCTAGCCCCATTCCTTTCTCCCTTCTGTAGGCCCCTTTAAACCGCAAATTTCCCTCCTCCCTACGAGTACTCTACCATTTTTAGGGTAATCGGAACGTGAGCTATCATGCCAGTATAAAAGTGCCGGCCAATGCCATTCCCACCAAATTAGGTGCCCGCGGAGGTATTAGTTAAATTTATATGGATGACCGAATCACCCTTTTTCCTTTTCCCATTCCCATTACCTAAGAAACCGCCTAGGTATCGTTTCCGTTGAAGAATAAGTTACAGGCCACATATTTCTCCCATCATACCACCACCCCCTTCCAAAATCGCTGCTCTTTCCAAGTGGGGGAATACCAACGCTTCCAAAGGGCCAGGGGAGTCCTAACGAGCGATCTGGAAGGCAGCCAATAAAAACCGGACCGGAAGGGATTGTGATTTATTGCCCGTCTGGTCCTGAGGAGTTAACCGTGCCAAGATTCCCATCACTTGGAAAAAAACGTCAACCTACCTAAATGTTGGATAATAGCCGTGCCATCTTGAAAAGGCAGTTGCGTGAACCGATCACCTCCTAAGTAACTTGATGGTAAGACAGCTTTCTTTCCAATTGTATCATAACAAAAGAAAATTACCCCCATTTCCAAATGCCAAACAAACAGTAAATACCACATCCAATCCCGTCATAATCTAACACAATTTACAATCCAGGAAACCAACTCGGGGGGGTTTTTTTTTGCTTCTTAAGAGAATCCTTTACCAACATAGGAAAATCCCCTTTCTTATTACCCTTCTTTCATAGCCCCAAGTCTGAGGCCCCATCTCCAGGGCCCAGAGCGATGGAAGAAGGTATGATAGGTAGTAGGCTAGCGGTAGACTGATAGTCATAAGTAGGCAGGAATAGGATACCACCCATGGCGTTTTTTCTGAAAGAATACCATTCCAGCACACTTATGGAGCTCCAAGTTCAGTGGCCAGGCAGGATCGTAAAATCTTTAGGGTGGTGTTGAACCTCGTGGGGATGACGCCGAGGTCTTCCCTGGCGGTGACTAGCCCAGTTAGACGGCAGCGGCGGCCGGCCGACTGGATGACTGGAAGCACTGATCGCTCCCCCGAGCCCGTGAAATCCGCAGAGCAAATCCGATATAGG